GATCAACATGGACAAGTTAAACTTTTCGATCCTTAAGAGGCTCGCTGGGCCGAAAACCCGGAAGGGTAATTCAGGAAAAAGTTAGAACAAGACAAAAATAAAGAACAAAAATGAAAAAATGGAAACAAAAAACAAAAAAGAAAAGAAAAGAAGAAGAAAGAAAAATGAAAAGGAAAAATAAAGCTCGCTAGGTTGAAAACCTAGAAGGGCAGCTTTGGCAAAAGTTAGAGCGTAAAAGGAGAGTGTTAATATGCGAGTGCACCTTAACCACCCGGAACTACATATGGCCTGATCCCCATCTTTGGGATACGTAGGCAACTTCATCATGAAGTTCAGCCCCAACCATTTTCAACCTGCTTGCCTCATCCATGTTGATTTGCTTACCCTTGTTCAACTCGACTATCCTATCCATGTCCAATTGGCTCATCTTTATTCAAAATCAGTTGTCCAATACCGTTGGAAGATTCAATTGCAAGTCATTTGAAGTTCAGATCTGAGGTTGTGCATCTCAAGGGTTAATTCTGTGTTGGTTGGCTAGTGGTCAATTACAAAAACAAATTTTGAGGATTTTTAGTAAAGCTGACTAATTTTCTCGAAAATTATTTATTTTTTCGAAAATCGGACCATTTCTTGGACCCAAAAAGGAAAATTTCTAGTGCTCACAACCCGACTTGCATGATTTCAAAGCCGAAAGTCAAACAAGCATGTTAATCTAACTCTCATGTTGGTCAAAATTGTTTCGACAGAAAGCCAAAAAATAAAAAATGGTCAAAATGATAAACTAGGGGCACAGTCGAGTTAGGTTTTCTACCTTTTCCCCATTATCAATAGACTCACCAAAAAAGGGCACAATTAAAGCTAGTAGCAGAAGCCAAAAAACTCCCTCATCCTCCGAGCAGTGAGGTATCAAACTAAGTGCGAAGCCCAAATGCTGGATATTCAACCCTCCTCATAAGGCCCACAACTTCTAGCTTATCCATCAATCACACTTGGGAAGGGATAAAAAATAAGAGAGATTAAAGAATAGAGAGATGTGCGCTAAGAGAAAAAGTAAGAAAAGCACTTTTTAGAGGAAAAGAGATTGAGGGCCAAAGTGATGTGAGAATCACAAATGAGACAAGGGTGTGAAATAATACCTGGAGAAACAGGCTCGTCATGAACCGAGAGGTCTCCTGCCGATGGAAAGCAAATGTCCAAGTGTTGTGTTTGTTGTTTTCGTTTGTCTCAATTCCTGCTTTGAGTCATTTTGATTTCAGTGAGTGTCAATAGTTATGTTGTTTTTAATTTGCTTTTGTTTTGACTATGGTCAATCGTAGGCTCAATACCCGGTTAAGAATTCATTCTCATTTTTAAATTTTAAAAAATAAATCGTGCTGTGCTCAGAATACTGTGTCATTCCCAACATGATGTACAAAACAAAATTCCTTCTTTTATAAACTGCAGGGTCCATCCTTGATCAAAAGAGAGAGCAACCAAACAAGGACCTATCTGAAGCTACATAGGTTCCAGACTGCAAAGCAAGAGAAAATAGCGAAAATTGGATCATCTAAGTTTGTTTCAACTTATTGCATTTCAGATGCACCTTCTCAGGCCTTGTCTTTTCTCCGGAGTATGAGTGTACCTCTACCTCAAGCTCAAGCTCAAGCTCAAGCCCAAGCCTGCTTCATCTAAGTGCTATCTTCGAACACCATTCCCTGTTAGAGGCATCTTGGTTGTGTTGGCAATGAGTTCTTAGGAGACCAACCACGATGGTGGAAACTAGAGTTCGAATGGTGATGCCTAAAATACAAAGGTTTGGAATTTTCGAGGCTAAAGTCTAGTTTAAATACCCAGGAGTGTATCCCTGGATTGAAATCTGTATGGTAGCCCCATAGATTGAGATAGCATGTGTGCACCTCAATTCTGGACACTGAACCAACCTAGTTTGTCACTCCGTTGGAGAATAGGTAAAGTTATGAATATGATCAGGAAGAAAAACAACATCCATGGCTTTTACATGCAAAGGTTACCCCTTGTTAGCATTTGAGTAACTTTGTACTGTGAGTTAAAGGTAATAGTTTGAAGAACACAAGAGGGAGATCCTTGTTAGAGTAGAGCGGTTCGCGGTTCATCGCCACTCGCCCCATGAGGTACTTTCTAAAGTGCCGCTTTGCTTGTTTATTGCATTCTCTAAACATCATGCACTAAATTGCTTGTAACATGCATCATATCATCACACTTATTGCATTTATTTGCATCATGTGTTATCTTGTATCATTTATCCTTTTACGCTGAGCAGCGTTTAAGATCGTTGTCCATCGAGCTTTTCTTAGGACCTCTTCTCATGATTTCAGTGTGGTTAGCGTGTTCCGTTCCTCACACGATTTCAACGTGTTTGGAATTTATCTCAGGACACGTGGAACGTCCCCCTAAATAGTTTTCTTAGAACCTCTTCTCACGATTTCAGTATGGTTAGAATGTTTCCTTTCCTCACACGATTTCAGCATGTTTGGAATTCATCTCACGCATCCCTAAGTAGTTTTCTTAGGACCTCTTCTCACGATTTCAACGTGGTTAGAGTGTTCCTTTCCTCACACAATTTTAGCGCATTTGGAATTTATCTCAAGACACGTGGAACGCGTCCCTGAGTAGTTTTCTTAGAACCTCTTCTCACGATTTCAGCGTGGTTAGAGTGTTCCCTTCCTCACACAATTTCAGTGTGTTTGGAATTTTTCCCCAGACGCGTGGAACACACCCCTGTGTAGTTTCTTACGACCTCTTCTCACGATTTTAGTGTGGTTAGAGTGTTCCCTTCCTCACATGATTTCAGCATGTTTTAAATTTATCTCACGACGCATGGAATGGGCCCCTGAGTAGTTTTCTTAGGACCTCTTCTCACTATTCCAGGGTGTTTAGAATTTATCTCAGGATGCGTGGAACATGCCCCTAAGTAGTTTTCTTAGAACCTCTTCTCACTATTCCAGGGTATTTAGAATTTATCTCAGGATGCGTGGAACATGCCCCTAAGTAGTTTTCTTAGAACCTCTTCTCACGATTTTAGTGTGGTTAGAGTGTTCTATTCCTCACACGATTTCAGCATGTTTGGAATTTATCTCAGGATGTGTGGAATGCGCCCCTAAGTATTCTTCTTAGAACGTCTTCTCACAATTTCAGCATAGTTAGAATGTTCCCTTTCTCGCACGATTTCAGCGTGTTTGGATTTTATCTTAGGACGCGTGGAGTGCACCCCTAAGTTGTTTTCTTAGGACCTTTTCTCACAATTTCTGCGTGGTTAGAGTGTTCCCTTCCTCACATGATTTCAGCGTGTTTGAAATTTATCTCAGGATACGTGGAACACGTCCCTGAGTTGTTTTCTTGGGACCTCTTCTCACGATTTCAGCGTGGTTAAAGTATTCCCTTCATCACACAATTTCAACATGTTTGGGATTTGTTTGTCCTCCTCTCACGATTCTAGCATGGTTGGAGTATGTCACCCTATGCATCTACTACACTATCCATTGCATTCATTACATCATACCATGTTATTTCCTGCATCCTTTTCATGTTCAGCTTACTTTGGCATGTGCTAATACTTTTCCCTCATTGAAACATGGTTCTGTCATGTGTAAATGTCCATGCTACGTTGAGGCCAGTATTGAGGGTGTCAGCACCTTTTCTGTGTTACATGTGGTTTATTTTGTGTCCATACCTTTTCTAGGTCAAATGTGGTTCGGCTTGCGCCTTTCATACGTTGCATCCATTGCACTGTAATTTGTCCTGTTACATTTATCATTTAGGATCATTATCTTTCCCCAAGCAGATCATTCCCACTTATATCATACCACCCAATTACTTGAACTTTTTCTCTTTCTACGAAAAACATAGTTTTGCAAGCGCCCGCACCACTTTCACGTTAAAACTTGGTTCTATTATGTGTAAGTATCCATGTTGCATTGAGGCCAGTATTGAGGATATAGGCACTTAGCCTGTGTTATGCATTGTTTGGCTTGTGCTGCCACTTCTTTTCTACATAAAACGTAGTTTGATTTGCATCTCTATTCCTTTACGATATTTGTGTGGTAAACACTGCTCGTGGCTTAGATTGCTTGCATTATATATCATTTGCATTATTTTATTACATTGTGTATCATTTGCATCCTGCCCCTAAACTACACTAGTTTGATTCCTTACAACGGGATACGTAGGCAACCCTCAGGTTCAACCAACTACATTTGCATTTTCTTTGTTTGCCCAAGTCTTACGGCCTTGTCAAAATGGGTTGTCTTTGGGCTTTGACATTTACTCACGTCATTTTATCACTTCTAGATCCGTCAAATAAGGGCAATTGTAGACACCCCATTTTTTACCGCCCTTAAGACTTGGGCGCTTTATTCCAAACACTCGATGATGAAAGTTACATTGTGCAATCTTTTGAATTCTTGGCGAAGAAATTCCAATTCAAGCTCTAAGTCCAAACATTGCACCCCATTTTGGCCAAATTATTTTAGACCTTAAAACCCTCTTTTCAAAATATTTTTGCAAATGCTTCTGTGATGTCTGAGGCTCGCATTTCGTTTAAAACATTACACTTTTAGGTAAACCGAGTAGGGACAAAGTGGAAATGAATGGAATATAGGTGAACTCTTTAAAAAATCTTTTAAAAACTTCTTATTTATAGGTTTGGAGTTAAAGAAAATAAGAGGGGTTGGATGAAAACCAGGTTAGGAAATGAGAGCATCAAACCTTTAAGAAAGAACTGAGCAGCCTTCACAAACCAGGCCCGTCTCTTTGCACACTTAGACTTTAGTTGTGAGGCCCCCACCATTGGAAAGTAGATTTCTGGGGCTTATCTTTGAACTCAAGAATTATCTAAAACCAAGTTTGGATGGCGACGTTGTGGCTGCTAGTTGTTAGGCATCAATTCGATTAAGATAGAAATGAGCAACCTTTACTAAAATAGGCATATCTCTTTACACACTTAGAATTTAGATGTGAGGCCACCACCATTGCAAAGTATACTTATGGGGCCTCAATTTAGGCTTCTTCTTCTCTTCAAATTTGATCTCAAATACGTTACACTCAAGGCAATTAAAGGAAAAGTTGTAGAGGAATTCCTGGCCAACCACCCAATAAAAGAAGATGAGGCAATGGAATACTTGTTCCCAGATGAAAACATTTTGCAAATGGAGGAGGAAACATGGATGATGTACTTTGACAGAGCATCTAATCAATATGGTTATGGAATCGGTGTGTTGCTGATGGCACCCGATGATTCCCATATACCTTTAGCCTTCAAACTCCAATTCAAAGCGTCAAACAACGAAACTGAATATCAAGCGTGTATTGCTCATTTGGAAGCTGCCCTAGAACTAGGGGTGATAAGGTTAGACGTAATCGAAGACTCAAACTTGGTTGTCTCTCAGGAAAACGGAGACCGAAGAGTCAAAGAGAATAAAATGAAGGCGTACCATCAGACTCTAGATCTCCTGATTTCAAGGTTTGAAAAGCTGACGTTTACACATCTGCTAAGAGAGAACAATAGGTTTTTTGATGTAGTGCCAACTCTATCTTCTATGGTAGACATCCCATTGGGAGTGTGTAGACATCCCATTTTTGACCGCCCTTAAGACTTGGGAGCTACCGCTGGTTTACTTGGTGGTGAAAGGTGTGCAAGGCAAAGGTTCAATTTCTTCGGCAAGGAGAGACTCAAATCCCAAACCTTACACCCCATTTTTGGACCAAAAATATTTTGAATGGTTTTTAGACCTTAAAACCCTCTCTTTCAAAATATTTTTGAAAAGATGATTCTACGATGTTCCGACGCTCGTATTTTGTTAAATGTTGTGCTTTTCAGTAAACCGAGCAAGGACAAAGTGGAAATGATTGAAAGAGAGATGAAATCTTTGAAAAATCTTTCAAAACACCTTTTTTAGAGGTTTGGAATCGAATAAAAAGAGTAGAAGAGGGAAGAAATCAAGTTGGGGAAGAAGATGGGCATGAACCGTTAAGAGAGAGTCGAGCAGCCCTCGCTAAATCGGGCCTATCCATTTGTAAACTTGGATTTTAGCCATCAGGCCACCACCGTTGGAAAGAAGACATCCGGGGCTTCATTTTTCATTCAAGAATCTCCTCAAGCCGAGTCCAGATGGGAGAAATATGGTTTGTTGGAAGTTAGACATCAATCTGGTTGGACCGAAATTGAGCAGCCTTCACTAAAAGAGGGATATCTCTTAGCACAGCTGTAATTTTGATGCAAGGCCATCACCAATTGAAAGATTACTTCTGGGCCTTCAATTTGCACACATGAATGACCTGAAAAGGCATCCAGGTGAAGGAGTTAGGCTTGCTTCAAGTTGAAGACCAAGATTGATTTTTGCTTCCGAGCTCTATGGGAGTGTGCCGGCCATGAATGGCCAATGCCGTCCAAAAGTGACCCCTGTGGCCAACAATAGTGTGTTGCCAACCAACAATGGTAAAGGTGTCGGCTAGTGATGAAAAGATCAGTTTTGGACAGATATTTTATCTCTAGCTGGCACAGCTATCTCCCTTGAGATATTTTTGACCCAAGCCTCTATTTTTGCTATATAATGAAGCCTTATATCTCATTTTCAAGGGTTAGAACTTCTTGAGCGAGTTTGAGAGCTTCTCTCACTAAACTCTCTCTCTCTCTCTCTACAATTTTCAGAGCTTAATCTCTGTCTCTCTCTCTAGAGTTCACTCTCTCTTGCCCTTTTGTGCTAGAAGACTTGCATGCAACCATCTTCAACCTATCAACCCTTAAGAAGACTTGATCACCATTGGGCTGAGGTCCTTTGGAACTTGTTTTGGGCTGTTAAAGCTTGGTTTTAACTTAGAAAACTTGATGTTTTGCTGTTTGGCTTCAAGGGTAAGCACTTGTCCCTCTAAAGCTTGTTTTGCATGCTTGTTTTACCACCTTTGCAAACTGATTTTGGCTTGGTTTTGAACTAATGAAAACTCTATTTTTCAGCCCGAAAAATGATGGTTTAGGCCTATTTTGTGTTAGGGGGTTGTCTCCCTTTTGTTCCTTAACTTGTATAGCTTTTGAACCATCTTCCTAGGCCATTCAGAGCAACTTTTTGTGGCCTTTTAACCACTAAAATCTAGAGATTTTTAGTGGTAAAAACCCTATTTTGAGATCCCAAAAAGGAGGGAGTGGTCCCCCCTCCTCTTGTCTTGTTTACTTGTGTTGATGGCCAACCAAATGAGCATGTGTTTTTACTTCTTTGTGGCTTTGTTTAGGCTCATTTTTGTGACTTTTTAGACCTGCAATAACTCTATTTTTCGCTGTCTTGGTCACGCCTTGCATGCTTATTGCAGTTGCAGTGTAAATCCTCTTTGCTAGCCTTACATGCTTGATGTTGTAGCCTATTATTTCAACATGTATTGGCTTCATTCCAGCACAATTTTGACAATGTTTTACCATGCTTGCAGTCTATTTGAAGTGGTTTTGGTCATGTATGGCTTGCCTTGTAGGGCTATAGTGTAAATAGCTTCACTAGTCTTGAGTTTTGAGGCCACTACCATGCTATACTTGTGTTGTTTGCATGCCTTCGCATCATTTGGCATGGTATTTCAGAGCTTATATCTTTGCCATACTCTCATGTTTATCAATCTTTAATTGTGTTTGAGAGTTATGCCATTATGCCATGTTTATGAGCTAATACATGAGCATATCTTTCTTGCCATCTATGCTGCGAGTCTAGCATATTTTTGCCACTATTTTGACCTACCATAGATCTATTTTGAATGGTTAGGGTCTTTTGAGCATTGCTTAGTATGGTTGTAGTGTAAAGGGCCTTGACTAGCTTTGAGTTGTAGGGCCTTTAACATGTTGTGCATGTGATGTTTGCATAGTATGGCCCCATTTAGCATGTAATTTCAGTGCATATAGTGTAGTCACACTCTCATATACTTCACTCCTTCGTTGCTTTTGAGGGTTCTGTATCATGCCTTGCTCATAGACCAACATGTGTACATGTTCCTCTAGCATTTTGAGCTTCATTTCCAGCATGTTTAGGCCATTGTTTTGGCATGCATGAGGTCTGTCCATGGATGGTTTAGTCCATTGAGCATTGTATTGCATGCCTCTTGTGTGTTGCACTTCACTAGTTTTGATGCCTTAGCCTTTAAACACGCCATGCATGCATTGCTTGCATGATAGAGTCTTGCATGCCATCTTAACATGTAAAGATTAGCATGAGAGTTTTGCATGTCATGTTGTTTGTGTGCATTGCATTGTGTTCAACGCGGTGTTGTGGTGAACACAAGGTGGATTAGTTCATTTCATACTTGAAGTGATGAAGTGAGCCAATCTACCTTGGTTTCCATTACCTTTGATTTCTCATAATAAGGAGATGGTCCTGGTGTCTTGTTTGTCATGCATTTATTGAAATTACACATGTTGGATCTTTGGCCATCATGCATCGAGATGCGTGAATGATGGTCTTGGATCCAATGATGCCCATTCCATCGATGTTTTGAAGTGATATGGAGTGGCATAGTGCGTACACACCCTTGAAAGACCCTCCATTTTCTCTATTTTGTGCTCTACTGCAGCTTGGTGTCACAGCACACCAGTGGCCGGCACCCTCTTATTTCTGGCTGGCACCTCTTCATCCTTAGTCAGCAGTGTGCATATTTGGTCGGCAGGGGGGTCGGCAGCAGCATCTCATGGCCGGCATCCCACTGGTGCACTCCCCAGCATTGTTTTGGTAAGATCTAGCAGCTAGTTCTCGGGGACACCCTGTAGACAGAGCCTCTAAAGAGCATCCAGAGAGCTTTCGGGACGAGAACTGAGCATGCGTCTTCCGCTTCTTCGATTAGAGTTGGAGAAGCATAGTTTAAAGCTTTTCTCACTAAATTAGCTTGAATTTGTAACTTAATTAATTTGTTTAATTAGTTTTGTGATGTAATAATTAGTTGTAGCTTGTTATTCAATTTGGTTGTGTAATAATTACAATAGCTTAGCATAACTAACTTAGCGTATTATTCAGTCGGACCCTCCGTCGAGAGGGCGAATTTTGTAATAAGTGTGCCTGTGTGTGTGAATGTCTTCCAACCCCACGTCCTTCTCCCTTTTACGTACCCACTTTTGATGGTTAGTTTTAGGGCATGTTTCCATTAGCATAGTTATGCTTCGCATGTTTGCATTCATTCATTTGTCTTGCATGCACTGGGCTCGGCACATCATACAAACCGCATTGTATTTCAATACATTTACTTGAATACGTGTTCAACAGCATGTTATCAAATTGAATCTCACATGTCATTTTAGAATAGCCGAGCCTATTTCTAGTTGCATTTTGCATGTGTTGCATTAGCCATCTTAACATGAACTAGGATCAGGCACTGATTTCCAACTAGTTCTCTATTTTGGCTCGGAGTACACTGTAAGTGTTTATGCTTTAGCATCTTGCATGAGTGTGAGTGTTGCCATCATAGCGTGCTTGCCATGAGGCTAACTGCTTATGTGATATAACTGCCTGAATGGCTGTGGGTGAAGGTTGGATTACTTGAATTAGAACAAATTCATTAAAATGCGAGTTTTAAACCCACCTGAGGGTAACAAAATCATGTTTTCTAAGCCCACTCGAGGGTGACAAATCCACGTCTTGGCCTACTTGCGAGTAGTACCGTCAAACCAATTTCAAACAAATAAACATGAGATTTTTTGTTCTAATTTAGGCGATCTAGTCTATACTTGTGTGTTGTGCGCATCACACAGTAATTATAGGGTAATAATAGGAATAAGAACGCATGTGTTTTCAAAAACATGATATCATGTTAGTAAAGGCCGATCTTTGATCGGGCGAGCGGGGGTGCTCATTGCATGACCTTCCCCTCTCGTACCCAAGTTCCCGAGCCAAGGCAACTGTCACGCCCCAAACCTGCCCCTAGAAGTTTGGGCATGACCATTTCAGAAACGAACACTTAACCTGTTATATATAATATATGGGGCCTGAACGGAAGCATTAAATATCAAAATTTGACAATAAGAACGCATGTGTTTTCAAAAACAAGATATCATGTTAGTAAAGGCAGATCTTTGATCGGGCGAGCGGGGGTGCTCATTGCATGACCTTCCCCTCTCGTACCTAAGTTCCGGAGCCGAGGCAACTTTGGTGAAGACGGACACATGGCCTAAGGAACGAGTCTGGGTTTTCAAAATTTTCCAAAACAAAAACATTTAGGTGGCGACTCTGTATTTGGCAAAGCAGTCCATGTTTAGCACTTCTTTATAAAAATCAGTTTTCCAAAACGATTTGCCGAATTTGGACTCTTTGGTGATTTATCAGTCTTGCATTGCACTTTGCGAGATTAGATTCAAAATCGTGACATTTGAGTCCGAACTGTAGTAGCTAATGAACAAAACGGATTTTCGCGCCATTTCGCGCGGAGCTCGGGACGTTCGGGAACCTCTTCAGTTTCTGGCGACTCCACTGGGGATTTAGAGAACTTGACTCAAACTCATGATATCTTGTTCTGGCTACACTTATGTGTCTCTTTGCATTGCATTTGCATCGGTGTGCCTAGGACATCGTGTTTGCCGTATACTATTCATGAACGGTTTCCTGGAGGCCCGCTTTGAGAAGCGTGCCATAAGGCT